GAAGAAATCTGCCAAGTATTGTCTGTTTGCACAAGAACAAGATACAGATGGTGAACTTGAGACCAAATTGTACAAGGTGAGTCCCGCTACAGCGTTATTTTAGATACATTTTAAGGACAGTATATATATTGTATTCTTGTAGGCTGATGTATTGCCTACATGCGGAGGTGGAGCGCAGATTGTATTTAATGACATAGAATATTTAAAACAAATATCTCCGAGCACAGCGAAATGACATAATGGACAGATAAATCAGGAAAGATTTCAGTATATACATAAGTATTTTATGTATACATTATCAAAAACCTACTTAAGTTGTAAAACATAATTCATGAGACGATCGCAGAATTTATTTTATTCGTCGTTTGTTTATCATTTATTTAACAGATATACTTCAGAGAAAGAGAGTATTATTTTCACTTCTCGTTTGGATACTTTGGAATTCCCACAGCCAACGTCGCATTATAGATTGAGAATAGAAGACTAAATTTTTTTTTTACAAATCGCAATTGTATTTTCTTTTTAAATTGTAGAACGATGTGTTTGCCACTTCTCGAATCCAAAGTATCCATACATCGTTATGTAAAGTTGCAAAACAAACTCTGTACACTTCCCGAAATCGTGAACATAAAATAGAAACAAGACTGCGACATTATCTTGTGTAATAAAAGCTGCAAACACTTTGCGTACCGATGAATCTCAATTTATTTGAATGTGAACAAAGATCTGTCGTTACCACACACAAGGATGCATGCTAATGGATGGATGTAATTCTTCATTTACTAGAACGCTGTTTGCTTCTAAAAGGTTTCGCTTGCCGAAATGAGTTTTAACAAGTGTTATCATAACATGACTGGTAATCGCACAAAAGTCTCAATCATATTTCCGAAATTTAACATTTCATACCCTGCACAAGTCTACAGTGAACTTCCCTTCTCCTTTCGTCTATCACACCCGCTAATTTCGGCGCGCAACCAAGTGTGGTAAAATATATAAAATTATATCAAGTATCAAGACTAGATGAATATATTAATTATTAGAGTAATTATCCGTTACGATCGGCTCTAACAAATTATACATATATATATATAAAAGTGTATTATTAGATTATTTAAAGATATTGTCTTACGCAACGGTGCAACATTCTCCTTCCTCATCGTACAGCGCAAATCGCTCAACAGTTTCGTCCAACGCATCACCAAACGTTTTTCGCTAAATTATAAATTCACAAACAATCATAAAGTAAAATTTGAGACTCGATCGACGCGATATCTTCGACAAAATCGATATTGTTGTGCAGAGGTTTGCAGTGCCTATTGTTTTT